ATTCTCCAAGGCACCTGAGGGCAGAACAAGAAGCAATGGGTGGAAACTAATCCAGGAGAGAAGCAACTGAGGAAGAATTTCCTGACAGTGAGAACAATTAATCAGTGGAACAACTGGCCTCTAGAATTTGTGAATGCTTCAACACTGGAAATTTTTAAGATATTGGATAACCATTTGTCTGAAGCAGTGTAGGATTTCCTGCCTAGGCAGGGGATTGGACTAGAAGACCTCCAAGGTCCCTTTCAACTCTGTTATTCTATTCTATTCTATTCTATTCTATTCTATTCTAATGGGCTGCTGTTTTTCCTCTACCCTCCCTTCCAGCTTTCCTTGGGTGCGGCAACTTTCCAGCCTGTTTTCTTTGAGTAAGTTTTTAATTGATTAGCAAGCGGGTTAGGTAGAAAGAGCTGAAATAAATCACGCCCTGCTTAATAAATATGGATTGATTTGTGACTGCCCCCCCGAGGAATTTAATCTCCTTTTTAAAGCCATGCAATGGAACCAAATCATATTTAGCGCCTGTAATCCAGATTTCGGCGTAGCTCTGTTAGGGGAATTTTGCAGAGAAACGGGGTGTGAAGGCTGTGTACAAATTGCAGGCTGTTTTTGTAACTGCCAAAATATGTGTGACCAAGACGGACAGGCCTTGGGGACTAAATATATACATTCCTGGGGAGGGATGCCATTCCGTGCCCAATTATGGAAACAGGCGGAGGGGCCGTGCCAACTTCCTCTCCCTACAAGCCCAGAATGAATTAACAGTCCTGCAAAGCAAGAGTTTTAACAAGCCAGGTTAGCAGCCTTCACGCCAAACACTAAACCAGGGTTTTTAAACCATAGTTTGCCAAGCAACACAGTCGGTTTGGGTGCATGTCTCCCACACAATGCCAGCCTTGTTAAGTAAGCATCTGCCTGGGATCTGAGCCACAATTACCCCAATGTGTGAACAGAGCCAGGTTTAATGCTAGTCACTAGGTTCCTTTCTTCCGTAAGTCTGTTTCTTGAGTGAGGTGTGAATAAACCTCCTTGGTTAATAAGCCCTGAGGTCCCCAACTCCTTAAGGTTTGCCAGCTTCGTGATTATTTAAAAGCCATGTTCACACAAAACTCTAAAACAACAGACACGTTCACACAATGGGTAAATGAAAGTTAAAGAGATGTAATGCTTTAACGGCATGTATAAGTGTCGTTTGTTGCTGGCCAAGGAATCCAGACGAGGCCTGAACGCGGTTTAACATAACCCTGGTTTAGTTCAGATCCTAATCTATCCTTTCTCGCTCTTTCGCTCTCCAACAGAGCAAATGAGTCAGAATAGAGCTGGAAGGAACCTTGGAGGTCTTCTAGTCCAGCCCCCTGCTCAAGCAGGAGATCCTATAGTTAGATCAAATTAAAATGGCCTTCTGTGATCCATTGCCATGTTTAAGGTTAACTATTTCTTAGTCCTAGACTTATTCTTTATTCAAATAAGCACTGATTAATGACCCTGGCCTTGTTGTTAATTGCAAACTCTTGTTTGACACATCGGATCCCCATGGACCTCGTTCCTCCAGGCCTTCCTGTCCTCTCCCATCCTCCAGAGTCCATTCAAGCTCACTGCTTCGGTGACTCCATCCAGCCACCTCCTTCTCTGCCGTCCCCTTCTCCTTCTCTTGTCCGCCATCCTTCCCAGCACGAGGCTCTTCTCCAGGGAGTCCTTCTTCCTTCTCATCAGGTGGCCAAAGTCTTTGAGT